CTTTTTTCCTTTTTGTCTCTTTTCGTGTCCGGCAATGGATCGCAACCCTCAGTGTCGCTCCCAGACCGGACCGGGACCGGCAACGGGATCGCAACCCTCGGCGCTGCGCCCGCAGCTCGCTCAGCCAGTGAGCAGGAACCGGTCTGTATGTGGGATCCAAACCCTCGGCGGGAGCGCCGCTGTGCTTCCCAAGCGGCGCACTGTAGCAGTGCACCACCGGGCCGGCCCCACAGTGATTATTTTTATATAAGCATCTCCAAGCCAGCAGCTGCACTGTAACAGTTTACACATAAATGGTCTTTCTCTCCTTGGTGGACCAGTTTTCACTGAAGATGCTGTGTTGTAGGGGTTACAAACCTCTCTTATAAACATCAAATTTTCTATTTCCCCCAAAACTAGTTTTCTGAAAAATCCCACACAAATACATCGGGATATATTTTCAGAGGTTCAGGAAAATTCTTTNTAACAGTTTACACATAAATGGTCTTTCTCTCCTTGGTGGACCAGTTTTCACTGAAGATGCTGTGTTGTAGGGGTTACAAACCTCTCTTATAAACATCAAATTTTCTATTTCCCCCAAAACTAGTTTTCTGAAAAATCCCACACAAATACATCGGGATATATTTTCAGAGGTTCAGGAAAATTCTTTTTAAAGATTTAGTTCAGTGAAAATGCCACAGCAGATTGATCCCATGCTCAGAACGGAACTGATGACTCACGTCACTGATGATGTCCCTGGAGGCCTTGGCCGCCACAATGGGGATGGCATCGCTCCGCAAGTCATAGCCTTTCTTCTTTGCTTCTTCGTTGGCGAGTTTATACAGACTCTAAATTTGGGGGGAAAAAATTAGATAGATGTTGACATCTATATCCAAAACCTGACAGAGGACTGAAATAATTCACTGAGTTTTCCACAGATAGAGCCTGTAGTACAGCGGAATAGTGCTGAAGTCAGAATAGTGCGTAAGTCAGAATAGTTCTAAGCCTTCTGCATGTTTGCTGAAGTGAAGACTTAGCAAATGATACCTGGGGAGAACACTGCACCTCTATTTTTTACTTTGAAGCTTATGTTGAATTAACTATCCATACATATTATATGTTGTTTTAAATTTTTAAATTAAAACAATGAATCAGGTTTGAAAATCACTGGAAAAATTAAGCTGAAACTGATGAGCCTAAGGTGGCAAAATGTGGATAGAAGGGAAAGACTTGATTAACTATTGATCATGGCAATGAATTTGATTCACAATTTTTCTGCGCTGATTCTGTATCTGTAACTGTGCTGGGTACTTACTTGAGAATCAAAGGTGAGGTCGAGACCTCTCTCAGCTTCAAGGTTTCTGGGAGAACTTATGGGAAGACTGATAACCTGTGGAACCAACTGCTGAAAAGTCTAACCACATTATTCATCAAGAGCTCCAGGAAGGAGTAATGAATTGTGAATTGAGAATCATGGAAATTCTTGCAGATACCTTTGAGTTGAACTTTGAGTGATGAGTAGGGTTTCAATAGACTAATATGGCAGTCAAGGGCACAGGGAATCCCATCAACCAAGGCATGGGGGAGTAAAAGCATGGGGTGTTGAAGGAAGTGGGGTGAGGCCCCAGGAAGAAGTGGCAGGAGACTGAAGAGTCTGGAGTTGGACTGTGAGCACCTGACTCTGAGATAAGAAGATGGTGCTTACAATATAGTGCACAGTTTTACAAACTCATTTCCACTTGTTAGATGATGGAAGTCTTTCCATGTCAGTAAGTAGCTCTCTGTATCTGCAGCTCAGGGCCCAGCATCCAGCCCAGCAGCAAGTGCTCACCAGGGGCTCATCTCTGTTTTTTCAGTGATGCATAGCTGAGGCTCTGGAGCCCAAGCAGGGGCTCAAATCTAGTCACTGCCACTTATCAACTATGTGACTCTGGGCATCTGTATAACCTGTTCCCTCATCTGTAAACTGACATTTAGTACTAATATCTACCTAATGAGAGTTTTTGTGGAAATTAAAAGGGCAATATTTATAAAGCACCTAGCTCAATGTCACGTAGTAGGTGATCAAAACATTTTTGTTTCTCTCCATGGTTGAGATGCAACATAATTTATCTTAGCAATGCATTGCTGATAGACATTTTGACTCTTTTCATTCATCCCTGTTACAAACATCACAGCTACATAGACCATATATCAGGGATCTGTTCAGGTTCCCTAGGGGCCAGGCTAATGACATGAAGGTGAAAGGTAGGAATTGTTGCTACAATAGCTATTTGATTTGTTGGCACTTGGGAATGTAAGTCAGAACTTCTGGCTTTTTCAAAAGAAGCTAGAGATCTCTGTTTTAAAAAGCCCAAAGTATGTATTTACACATATATGTGCTGAACCCTTTATGTTAAAAGACACTCTCTTGGGCCGAGCCCATGGCGCACTCGGGAGGGTGCAGCGCTGGGAGCGCAGCAGCACTCGGCTGCGGGTTCGGATCCTATGTAGGGATGGCCGGTGCACTCACGGGCTGAGCACGGTGCGGCCGGTCTCAAGAAAAAAAAAAAAGACAAAAAACCCCCAAAACCAAAACCAAAAACAAACAAACAAACAAACAAAAAAGACACTCTTTTGGCCTTCTCAATTTACTCATGGGCTAGGACTGGTGATCAGATGGGTTTTATATCCAGAATGTTTAAGCTCAAAACTAAAGTTCCTTGTGTTACAGCTCACCACGTCTACCTTTACCTTCATGTTCGGGATGCTAAACTGAAAGTTAATTAGTTTGATATTATAAGATACAACTTTACACATAAATTCTGAAACCCTACATAATAATAATTACTTTCCCTCACCAGGATGCAATATATATATATATAAAATAGGTTGGTGCTTAATTCTACATAAAACAGAAAACTAACACAAAGTTCTCTTCTTTTTAACACGGGGGGTGGGTATCCCTGGGTGAGTCCTGGCCTGGGTAGGTGGAGTAGGGGCCCTCGGGGGAAAGGAAAAAGGTCACCAGGGCCTCACAGAACTATCAGCAGCACTATAGCACCTCTGAGCTTTTCCAGCAAAGACAGAGAGTTGAGAATTCCAGAAATGCTGAGTGGATCGTAACAGGGGCTCTTTTGTTTACTGAAATTCCTGCACATACAGTGCATGCTTTCCTGCAACAATAGAGGGCCTATGCTATAGGTTTAGCTAAAAATTCAATCCTTTCTAATTTTAGAGTAGGACTTGATGTTTTTAGTTCTGGGTGACAATTAAGAGCTAGTTATATAAGCACTAAAATTACAGTCTGTACCCCCAAAATGAAATTACTCATGATGTTAGCAATTCTATCTGAATTCTCAAAGTTATATTCTGCAGAAGAGTAATATATTGTTGATCTGTGCTGTCAAAGAAACAATATTTTCCTTGCTGGTGGCACAAAGCTAGGAGAAATAACTAATGTATCAGCTGAAAGAATCTTAGATTCACAAACATCTCCACAGGCTTAAACCCATGGGCTCAATCTAAGAAGAAATTGCATAGAGATAAATGTCAATCTTTATATCGAGATAAATTACCAAATGCTTAAATGCAGGATAGAGGAAACCTAGCGT